TTTTTCTCTGCTGCCAATCAGTGGAGCATTTCTCAAATAGCTTCTTATGGCAGGAAAGATCATGGTGGGCAAAAGTGTGTCTGAGGGCGTACATGCATGGGTGCGTATGCGACTGTGTGTGTGTGTGTTTGTGAGCATGCGCATGTATAAGGGCGACAAAGCCTTGTGCTAAGCTGAGGGCCATGCCGAGGTTCCACCCTGAGGCAGAACTGAGATTGAGTTCATTATTCAGGGGGAGTGGGCTCTGGCTGACAGAGGAGGGAGATGGTGAGCAGCTACGTCTGTGTTGTGGCTCCTCCAACCCCAATGTCTAGTGGGACCCAGTGGAAATAATGCTAAAAAGAAAAAAAGATATCTGTCACATTTAGACAAACAGATGGCATCTGGCCTCTTTTTTTTTGTTTAGCAAAAAGGTCTCAAGAGACTGCTATAAAAAACGTATTTTTCTCAAAAAATGGCATGTGATAACATTAAAAATGCTATTTTTTGGTCACCGGAAAGTCACAATTTTATAGCTGCACATATAGAAAACACACATACATATGCATGTGTGTGACGATGATGCACTTGAACAGAAGTACCGGAATGTTGTATCCCTAGATGGCAGTAGTTAGTTGAACATGAGAGCTTTCCCTGTCAAAGAACAGTATCTTTGAATGTGTTTTCCCCTTGAGATTGATAAAGTGTGTTGATATGATTAAAAAAAGAATTGAACAAAAACTAATAACAGTGGAGAACAAAAACTGTATTGTGAAAATAGTTTTGGTGTCCTGCTGCTCCTCACATACAGAACCCAGGGTTTCTCCTTCACTCATGAATAAATACAGATTGCTGCTGCCTTTTTTTTCAGCCCTTGCACAAAGGCAATTAACTTGAAATTGCTTTGTTGAAACTGCTCCACAAAGAGCTTAGCAAAGGAAATGGCATCACAGCAACCGCATATGTATAAAATTAAATATATGATGTTCAACTCTCATGAGAGGTGCTTCAAACTGCAATGAGCAGTCATTGGCTCCTAAAGGGTGACATACATGCAAAGGGCACATATAAAGGACGCATTTATGGAATCCCTATTTGGCCTAACTGACTACTCAGTTATATTTAGCTTGGCCACTTTTTATGCATATCAATACAGCATTTTTGTTCATTTCCATTCTATGTTTTTTATCTGATTTATATCTCATAATTCATGTTTGACTTTTCACAATATCCGAGTTCTTTTCAGCATGATGCTTGCGGTGATTATTTGAATAAATGATCTGTCACCTCACTACATGCTTAACAAGGAATGAGACCCCAGGGATAAGCTGTAGATGGCCCCACATCTAGAGGGAGCCCACTTCATTCAGTTCACTTCCAGCTACTCTGTAGCAGTCAAAAACAACCTGAAACCTGAGGGACTCAATTTGTCTGATTTTTTTGGTTAATGTTTCCTGTGTGAGAATGCTGAGACCACAAGCCAAAGTAAAAACCACAATGCCGGCTTTTATCTACTTAATAATGAGTCTGCCGTTGTGACAGGGTCAAGCAGGGTCAATAGCTGCTGCTAAATCCGGAGAATTGTATCTTCATTTGAAATTCCTCTGGAGGCACGGTGTGGACTTGCATGGTGAGCCTCAGTAAGTCAGAGGCGCTTAACAGGAAAAAAAAGAAAAAGGAAAAAAAAAGCATACTGTCAGTGGCAAGCTGCTTTATTGCTGTGTGTCAGGGACTTGAGGACAGGCCACATCCCGTGCCTCATGGCAGGACCTGTGAGCGATGCATAATGAATGAGCACCCTATTAGACAACCTCGGCCTCTGCCATTCAAACACAAGCTCATGATTCCATCTGACACATCTGCTGGATCATGCTGAGCGCTACTCTTATTGACGGCTGCACGACGAAGTTCAAATATACCAAAAAGGGAGGTAAATGCCAGCCGATGTGATACAACAAAAGTGGGTGCGCTATCTAATTGAGGGTAAAGGTGAGAAGAGGAGGCAGATGAGCATACTCTTCACTAATATGGCAGTGGTGTTAGCATACATGAATCATTCAGGACACAAGCAGAGTACTTTGTAGTTATCAGAAAAAAAGATTAAACGGTTTTAACACAATTTTGCTACGATGACTACAACAAAATACTGCAGTCTTGCCTCAGCAGTCAAAAATAAAGAAATGACGCCCTCGTGAAATTATTAATTTGCAAGTTCTTATGTCTCTCTCTTTTTTTTTTACGATAAACTGCTATGAAGCATGTTTCAAAGTTTCCTTGTAAATGCCCTTGAAGACTTGGACTCCCCATTATTTATGACAACTCCATAATAAAAGATTAATCATTGTTCTGTGTGAAAGTTGGTCATGTTACTGTTGCATATGGGCTCCATTTTGCTTTTGAACTATTCCATGACAACTTGTGTTTGAGCGGCACTAACTGCTACGTTCACCAGAGACTAAATGTGCTGTGATATACGCATTTAGAAGAAGCTTATCTCTCATTTGCGTCTGCCATCTGGATAAGATGCATTTATTAAGTATGTATGCTGGCCTATCCATTCATTTTATATGCTCAATCCAATATAGAGTCATGTGTAAGCCTGGGGTCTATAATGTACCAGTCATCATCATTATTTAATTTCGGTCATGTCATCAGTAGGGTCAGGGGTTATGTCCCTATGCCAAATGTTTTTTGGCAGTATTTGCTGTACGTCTGAACTAAAGTCTGCCCTGCAGGAAACAGGCCTCTAAAAGGGATTGTGTTTCATCCCAAATACAGCTCCATGGTGCGTTCATGCAAGCAGAAAATTTACCTAAAGAGTGCACTGAGGTAAACTCCTGTCTTCAGTATAACTGCTTTCAAGTTTGTAGTTGTTCAGTTGAATGTTGCTGAAAAGACCACACCGAATACAGACACACAGAAATAGGAAACAGTGTGAGATTAAGACTGCTTTGAAGGGGATGTCTGGTTTATCGTGAGGCCGTGGTGAGGGCCATGTCCATGAAGCTGCATGGTGCTGTTTACTGTATGTGTCTCACTTTTCTTTTTCCCACTTTGTTTTGAAGTCTGCTGCTAAGTGCTAATGTAAACACTGCTAATTTCTATACTTAACATATTACAGCCTGATCTTCTCTCAGGCCTTTTGCGTGTCCCATTGGTTTAACACTGAGTAATCAACAGGCAAAGAAATCTCATCAGAATCTTCGACATTTATGAATCTTAACATCACAGTTAGAAACTATTTATATGCAATCTTTGGTGTACAGAGTATGCTGTCCAGTAAATAAATCTTTTAGCATCTTTTTTTTTCTGTGGCTTTGTTTTGTGGGATGTTGTGCCCTCTCAAGTGATACCTTCCCTTGGAACTTCACCATAGTAAAGGTGATGAAGGTGAAAAAGCGAACTGTTTAAGTTTAGGAACATGTTGCGGTTTCAGTTTAAATAAACCTCGTCATATCATCGACCATTTAGAAATCGTAGGCATCAACAACTTGGTCGATGGGTTATAGAGTTTGGCCTGAGGCTAGAATGATAATGATGTTACAGGAACAATACCAATACAGTTCATCAGATCATGCAATCTGCCAAAAAACATTACAAGATGGCTTTCAGTTGTTTTGTTTTTTTTACTTGACAAAAGAAAATCAAATTCTTCTGAATTCAAGCCCCCATGTAGAGAGATGAGTCTATATTCGACATGGGTTTAGCTTTCACTATGCGGGGAGCCCCATAAGCTGCTGAAGGGCTCAGAGTTTACTCTTTCCACAGTTTTGATTCTCTTTTTTTGGTTTTTGTTCTTTGTAAAATTTGATCTTTTGATCCAACATTCTGCAACTGTTTTGTGTTCTATTGTGTTTCTTTTTTGTGACTTTAGCTTATTTAATCCATTTATTTCTGACAGGAAAATTGACAAAGTAACATCTGTAATCAGTCTGGGACATTTGGGACAGACCTTTGTGGACATGTTCGAATGGTAAAGCGTATGCCGGTGAATAGAAACCATGAACTGACTTTGAAAACATCTATTGTACCTTCTACCAAAGCAAACATGCTACCTCGACCAAACCAACAAAAGATTCCTTTTTATTTAATTAGAATGGCTTTTTACGCATTTTCTGCTTCACTCAGTCCCCCTGCTTTCTTCCATCACCTTTTCTACTCTGAATTTCTCTCACACTCAGCTCAGATGCAGCATCCATACAAAACACTGGAAAACATTCCAGTTAGACTTCCTCTTGTGCCCGCTAATGCTCCATAGACCCAGTTCTCAATCGAATACAAAACAGTTTACTATCTTTAACCAAATTTGAACTTAAATGCACATTTGAACCAATTAGGGATCAAATAATCAATATAAGGTCATTTATCATATGACTGTTATTTTTGCTTAAAGATAAATGGAGCACCAGAATAAAGCAGAACACGAGAGCCACATGGAGCTAGGATTCAAATCAGATTTCTTCTTGAAAAGATTTTTCTTGAAAGAGAATGCTATATAACACAGATAATTCCGTGGTAAAAATGGTAACCATTATTCAACATTAGCTTGTGGCTCGGTGGTCGTCATGTAACCTTATTCACTGTACATTAGCTATGATGGGGACACATAATAACATAATGGCCTCATAATGGATCAAAGCATTTCTGAAAAAGTAAGGAGGTATCTCTGTTTTTTTCCCTCCTAATATGTGCTGTCTGTAACTTTGCCTGATGATTTGTCCTCCGGATGGTTTTGGTTGACGGTGCAAATACCACACCACTATATCTGAAATGTGACGTTTGTCTAATCAGCGTCTCTATATTCTGACTTTTTGTGAGGACCTCTTTGGAACCCATTCCAGAGTGACACCATCTTTAGTGACTCTTACAGCCAACCGGTCTGACTAATTTCATACAAGCTGCGTCACCTTGACGGCGTTTAATCATTGAGAAAAAAGGCAAGAAACGTAGTTCTCCTCCTTATCTCTCCCCCCCCTCTCTCTCTCTCTCATTCCCCTCCTACCCCCCCTGTCCCCCTGACTCTGACTCTTCATCTCCAGTGTCGTCTCTGGCGCGTGTGTTGTGCTGTGAAGAGCGGCGGTGCGCGTGTGCCAGGCTGGGGATTCTGGAGGAGAGCCGCTCCGTTTCTGCGCACCGGGGGCTCCGCCGGACCAACGCCGAATAACGGCGCACGACAACCGGGCGGCGGTGGAGGGGGAGACTGGACCGGGACCGGGGACCAGGACCAGGACAAGGACCAGGAGAAGCACCGTGGCTATACTCACAGCCCGCTCTCCCCAAAAAACATGTCGGAGTTTTTCCTACTCGCCTTTCTAGTCCTTTTCCCGGGATTATTTCCGCGCGCCGAACCCTCGAAGGTGTCGGACGGGGAGAGAGGTAAGGAGGGAACCGGGGAATGCGCAGTCCGAGGAAACTTGGCACCTCGGGCCGCTTTGAGTGCGGTTTGCTGGTGTTAACGGGACCCAAACGGGCTGATGTGCAGTTTTGCAGAACGATTTCCATTGTTTTCCCTTTTTCTTTCTATCCAAATATGTGTACAAATATTTGTTCATTAAGAAAAAAACCTGCTATTCTTGCCTATACGGTGCGTCACATCCCACCTGGAAGTCTCCAGCTTTTTCTAAATTGTTGGAAGTCCGACTGACAAAAACAATTCATTGCGATGTGTAACCTACATGGTTATAACGGCACATCACGGTGCCACCTGTGCCACTTATAACGCACTGGCTGCGAATCTGGCACCGCTCCTGGGTTTGTTGGTTTTTCAGGAACACCGACATGGATCCGGGACAGATCCCGGTGTCTGTGACTGCAGGTGCGCCGCAACCGTCACCCTCACAATGCAGCAGGTGAAAAATCCCCCTGTGCTTTGGGGGGGGGGAGCATTTAGCCTCCCCTCCCGAGAGTAGTAGGTTGTGGCCAATCTAAGCCGCGAGACCGTTGTGACACATGCACGAGGACGTCTTTGGAGAGCGGTCAGTTCCACTGCGCGTCATCCCAGCAGTCACACCAGGACCCTGTTTAATTATTTTAATTGTGTCAAATAATCACGCATAGGCTGGATAAATTCCCCTTTTTTATTTTACAACCGCCATTATTTATTTGAATGTCTGTGAGTGTAATTGATAAAAAGAAAATCCCAACCACACTCGCCTTAAAGCTCGCTGCACGGAATTCAAGCATGCTTTCAGTTTTTGTGCCCAGTTTGCAGGCTATCAGTCACATCCACATACAGCCACTTAAACTACAGAAACCAGCTCTGATGCATGATTTATAAGTCCGAAGGAGGAAGTATCAGTGGGCTACTTAGTGATAATAAAATGTGAATTTATACTTAAGTACTCATCAGAGTTTCCATTACACCTCTTCAGGACTCCCATTCAAAGTGTAGACGTTCTGAAAGGTGACCAATGTGTTTGGATGTACACCAATATCACATTATTGTAGTCTTAAAAAGCAAATATATAGTCATTTTCTTAAAGCGACAAATGCAGATTCAGAAAGTCTTGCCTAGGTCTCTTTCTTTTGCATCCTACAGCAGAACAGTGAAAGCAGCTGTGCTGGTTGGAGGGCTGTCACAAATGTCTCAAAGAGCCAGCCTCCAACACGATTTGGAAACTAGGCAGTCGGAGATTGCCGCGCAATCACAGTAGGCAAGAAAAACACTCTGCCTTTCTCCCGTGCATGAAATGAAACGATAGATTTTTCTCTTGTTTGAGTGCCCTCTCCGTACCAGGAACGAGGGGAGGGGACACTTAGTTTCATTGGTGTCTTTGTTTGACTCAAAGTAAAAAAAAAAAGTACAGCAACAAAACCTTGAAATTGACAGCTGTTAAGACCGAATAGATTAACACATGAACACATAGATCAGAGTAAAATTGGGATCTGCATGCATGTGTCTGCTGTCCTGCTCCCATTGCAGAAACAATAGATTGAAGCTCTCCTTTAAATGGACGGAAATGATAATAGCATTTCCCTTTCCAACACCAAAGTTGGTTGTTAGCCTAATTAGTCTGAAATTAATTTGCTGTGTGGTTGCACATTTTTACGTCAGATGCCAAGTAGTGAGCACCAGTTGTGTCTGAGTGAATTGCGCTAATTTCCACAGCTCTTTCTTTGAATGGTGTGCCTTGTAAATGCACTTCCCCTTGTATTTCTAATCGTATATCTCCTGTCTGTCTAACATTGAGGACAGGAGGTTGACCTGGTCGAACCTGCCAGGTCACAAACTGCTGATCGGACATCGTGAAGAGCATCAGAAATTCGGCCAGATGCTTTTTTTCTCCCTTACTTTGTATCAAAATTGGGAGAAAATCCTAAATCCTCGTAATCTGATGCATTAACCTCAATGCCAGATAAGGATCACAAAGAGCAAATAGCTCAAGGTTGTTTGTAATGCACACCCTATTTAAAAGTTGATGGTATTGTGAAGGGCAAAGATGGGTCCAAACACTAATGCAGCAAGACTGCATTTAGGAGCTAATTGAGTGGGATAGTGAGATACTATCATGCAAGCCTAAGTGCCTGTGTGCCAGTGTTTGCTGTGACAGTCACTTAGGGTTTATTTGCATAAGTTGACCAGTAGTGATTAAGAAGTACATATTTGGATTAACCCACAGTATCACACATGAACTAAACCAAAGCTGGATTTTCAGGTTAAATGGTTGTGAATATTGTACTATTACTATGACTGCTACCTAGTGGCATAACAATCAATAGAAGTAGGTGTTGGGCTTGCTCCTTAGAAGAATGTCATTCACTGTTTACAGTGGTGTATATTTTATTTTGAATAAAAAATTCATTTCTGTCTTTTTATGAAAAAGGAAAATTAACAAAAGCATGGATTTAGATAAATTTGTAGCACTCAGTGACAAAGTCATCGATATAGCTTATATTTATATAGCAAAATGTTCCAGCAGGATCCTTAGCTTTGACATTTGAGTCCATGCATTACATTTATTTAATATGATGTCTAAACTCTTCTGGGTTCATTTATACTTTTCTGATATCTGAGAAAATTACCCAAGTGTTCTATAGCAATATACATTGCTCAAAGACCTACAACAAAAACGTGTAACTGATGTTTTGCTTTTATTACATTTGCAACCATTTGATTTTATAAGATTCCTTTTAATCCAACTAGGATGGGATACATGTTTGCTACAGCAATAAGACTAACACTGTGACTTAGAACTACTTTTTGCATTCACCTTTAAAATCAGGGGGGTGATTTTTCATCTCCTTTTCAACTATATATAAACATATCCAAATTCAGTATTCATTTGGTGTCATCTAAATCAGGGTTACACTCACCATACATTTAAGATTTAGAAAATTATACCTACATAAGAAACATGCACTGTGCCATGCTTTATTGGCCCCCGTGCAACCTTCTTTTGTTTATTTTTTGGATGGTTTGCAGCAACTACAAAGAGATATAATACATCTTGAAGGAATCTGCTCTGACACTAGAATTAATTTCTGATCAGTTAACTACGTTTTTATGGGCCTGCAATGGGCAGATTAGCCATTACAGATTTCTCTTAAAAGACTTGAGACGAAGATTGAAGGATCAATCAGCCGTGATGTACTAACACAATCTGCAACTTTGCTTTACTTGTGCTGCTTAATTGAATAAATTGTCACAATTCACACAGCCAAAGGAGGGGAGAATAACAAAGTGTGGACAGGAACCTGGCTGGGTGGTGTAGCCCAGCATTTTTATTAAGCTAATGTGATAAATTCAGTCTTAAATGTTGGCAGGCAGCAGACAGGTACAGAAACAAAAACAGGTGTTGGGTGGAAAGAGCTGAGCCTAACGACCAAAATAAAGTCATAGAATGAGCTCATGCAAATCCAGGGTGACGGGTATGTGCTGGACAAGGGTTGACGGGGGAACAGGAAACAGGTGGGTGTGTTTTTGACATCTTGTAGGTGGTTGGATGAGATACTAAAAAGAGGTATATCTTGTAAATATAACAGCATAGAACATGAGGCATTATACATAGTTCAATGCATCTATATCAGTATAGAACTTGGAAACAAAAATAAATACCAAGTTTACTTGGTGTTATAGAGGTATGCATCATGGGAACCCTGGTCATAATTACAGGCATAGAGAATAGTCTTAAAGAAGAGATTACTGTATTTAAAATGGCCAACAAACCTGATTAATTCATTCCATCATCCAGCACGATTTGTGAATTTTAGATGAATTAACTCTTAGACCCCTCACTTGCCCTCCTCTTCAAGCAGTATTAAAATTTCAGATTGAATAAAAGTTTGGATTAAAGAACGGTAAGAAACAGCCCCTGGGCCATGTGACCGTGGACAGTGGTGACTTCACCCAATTCATTTGAATTTTCATCTTTGCGGATATAAAAAGAAATGACGAGCTTGCTGTTAAAAAAGAGTTGACAACTTGCAGTTGCTGTCCATCATAGTTCTTTGACAGACACAAAAAGTCCTCCTCCGCTTGTCTTGCCAGAGTCCCATGCTGAGTCAACTCCGAATCCATCTGCCCATCAAGCCATGAAGGAGCCAATCCCCATCTCACCCCCTTCATTTTACATTTACCCAGAAAAAAATAGACAGGAAACATTCAAATAGATGACCATAAGTTGAAGATGATTGCACTTAATGCTGGCAGGGCGCTAAATCTTTCTTGTGTTGGTCTTGATTTGACTGCAGCTCAGGAAAAAGCAGTTGTTTGTCAGTTTGAAGGTTCAGTCTTGGGTTTCACACTGCATGGCAAACTACTAAATCCCATTGTTCTTTATGTATTCGAGTGTCGAGAATAAGAAGCTCGATATTGTTTATAATTGTTTCTTAAAGTGCAAAGACATGTCTAAAAGACATGGAGCGCTACATAAGCATCCGTTTTCCGTTTGATCACTTAACTAACAGCACTGCCTGGTCTGGTTGCTCTGAAGGGTTTGAGGGCAATTCAGTGTGTCCATTTGAAGATGTTAATGAATGTACTTCGTCTTGAATTCTTTGAAGAAATGTGTTTTTCAGTACACATTTTCAATACACTAAAATAGGTATGTTTGTAAAACAAATTGCCAAAATTGATATAATATAGACCCATTTCAATTGAAAATGATGGGGTGGCTCAAACATTCTTTGGAGCTGGATTGCTGGAAAGATGTAATCTTTTTTATTAGTCTTAAAAGAGCAGTGCATAGAAGACCTTAAAAGAATTTGACAGAAGTCGATCCCCTTTGCATGCATGTAACGTCCCTCTGCACATGAATTAAAAGACTTTGAGTACAAAACATTTTTAGAAGCTGTAATAGCGGCTAAAGTGAGACTTTACTTTGTATTAACCCGTTACAAACTTTTGCCTCAGGCTGTCTCTGTATTTGCTATGCTGT